ATTATATATTACTAACTAGAACAAATCTAAAGAAAGAAACATAAGCATAAGCATACATTAAGTAAACTAAACTTCTATGGTCAGAAGAAATAATAAACACTGTAGATATGGGGTATGGGTTGTATTATGAATTAGCAGAGGTTCCATGAATTTCACTGTAATGCCATCTCCCCCACTATGAAGTCTAATAACCTCTTTTTTAAAAAATATAGATACATAGGGATGAGTTTTAATATAATCTATCCAAAAACAAGGCCATATAAACAAAGGAACAATAAACTAGTTTTAACCAGAACAACGGGACAGTGCAAATACATTCATATTCTCTGAAGTGTGGACTGTACTGTACATGTACTCAGACTATTTCAAATGTGTATATTAGAAAGATTCAAGTTCCCTAAGCATACCTGATATAAGAACAGGGTAACATGGTAATAAGAGTAATTTGTCACATAACAGGCACAGACTGGCAAGTCATGATCTTAGAGCAATAACATACTAAAACTAGATAATCATTCAAAAAAGATCCTCTCCCAGGGCTAAGGTTCTAAATTCCAAGTTAGCTATAAATATTTTAATCTAAATCTCTTTAAAACAAGTTTAAACAAAACACATAAAATCTTAAAGAACAAAATGAAGAAATACTGAACATGTTACAGAAACCAATTTTTTAGGTTTTTCATGTGGAGGACTCTGTCACCAGATAGGTGATGGAATTACTTAAAACATGAGTCAACTATCAGAGGAAGAAGATGTTTGGACTAGGGAAGGAGAAGAGAGCTTTCTGCAAATAACCTTCCCTTCTCTGGATCAACTGCCATTAAGTATAGCATCATCAGATTTCAAGTAATACAATAAGCCATAATCTTGATGAAAAGTCCCAAAGAAAACCAGTAGCTTTTTTATATAGTCACTAGACTCTTCTGGAAATTAAACTAAGTTTCCATCTGAAACACATAGGCAACATGCAAGCCTCAGGCACCATTTAGTATACCCTCTACTAACAAACGGTTCTTCCTCAATTTGTCCTTCTTGTTCTACCTTAATCTCTCCAGTAACAAATTTTTGCCCCATAACCCCTCTTTAAACACCCCCTGATAACCTTTATATCCTTATGTTTTCATTGTTTGGTAAAACTACTTTACACTTAAAAACTAAATATTCATGCAATAAAACCAGAAATAAGTAAAACTCTAGTTACTTTGCTGTGCAGGGCTGTGCAAAAGCGAGGATTACATCTTGTTTACTAATTTCCCACAATTCTCCACATGGTGTGTGTATCTGCTTCCTGACAAGTCAAGGTTGGAAGAACAGCATGCTCACTCTTTCTATGTGCCCCAGTGAGACAATTCTTAGAACCTACGGAAAGAAGAGCTGACAAAGTTGTCATAGGCCAAGAAGTCAGTTCCTCCTGAGAGGAAGGTAGGCTCCCTTGATCTCTCCTTAACAGGAAAGAATGTCCAAGAAAGGAAATATTTAAAAAGCAGTGAAGATATGACTAACCCAGCACTGGGTTTATCTGGGTGTTCAGATATGAGAGGTGAATCAAGTAGGATGAGAAGTCAATCAAGTAGCAGCCTTCAGAAGCAGTCCTGGGTTCATCCTGAGGAACTCTCTACATATTCAGGGTGAGGTTGCTTTCCATGTTGGGAGAGAGGTGGAAGGAAGACTGACAAGACATTGGTGATGGACTCCTTAACAGGTTGGATGCTGCTCATCTCCTCCATGGAGCCTTTTCCAAATATACTGTGCTCATGAGCTTGCTCTTCAAAGTCCCGGGTGATATCTAAAAAGTCCTGCCTCAGGTCTCAGAGACTTTGAGGAAGGTGAAGATCAGGAATTTAATGAGGAAAGTGGTGAAGGCATGAAAAACATAGGCTCCCAAATACGCTGCCACTGAGGGAAAGAGAAGTCCAACCAAAAGGTTGGAGGTTGAATTAGAGCAACTAGCCTCTGCCATCGCAGCAGGGCATGGGCCCTGTCTAAAGAGTTCAGGCACAATAAACCATGGAATGGGGCCTTGTCCAGTCTCAAAGAAGGCCACATAGATCAAAACAGCTGTGATACAGATAAAGCTCAATGCATCACACTCATCTTTCAATAACAAAGAAACAGTCATGATAATGGAACACACAGCCATACTTCCAAGGCCTATTCTATGTAGAGTCCTTCTTCCTGCCCTTTCCAGAAGAAACAGACAAATTATACTAAAAAAGAGTATTAACCACACCTGCTCCAATGGTGGCATATATTTACTCCTCAACATCTGCTTCCTTGAAGATTCCTGTTGAGTAGCAGAACACAGGATTGATCCCATACCACTGTTGGGAGAGCTGAAGCATGATCGAAATGAAGATGGGCTGTTGGTAGCTGGATGACCTAAGGAGCTGCAGCCCAAAGATTTGCTTTCCTTATGATATTCTGACACTCTCTTCTTTCATCTCCAGGATTCCCTGGTTCACATCCTGTGTGCCTCAGAACCACTGCAGGATCTTCTTAGCATTCTCCTCTTCTTTTCTGTTAATGATCAAGAACCCGAGATTCTCAGGGAAAAAAATGGAAGGGCTACACTTTTTAGGACAGCTGGAATGAGTTTTAAGCCCAACAGCACAGGCCAGAGTTCTTCAGATCCTAGGATGACTTCCAGACCAAGGATTTGAGCCACCAGAATCCCAAAGATGATCCCCAGCTGGTTGAGAGTGCGAAAGGCACCCTGCAGATCAGTGGAAGATACTGTTCCAATGTACATTGGCACAAAATCTGTGGAGAGTCTGTAGAAAATGCCAATAACCAATCAGCACAGGGATTAACATCTCAACTGACATAACAATCTTGCAGAACCCCATGAGGCAGCGACTAGCAATGGTCAACAGGATGACCATAAGCACTGAAAATTGCACCTGCCAAAGCAGTTGACAAAGAGTCCACCAAAAAGGAGGCCATCCTACCAATAACAGAGAAGATGGCCACAGACAAGGACAGAGGGTTGTGAGCAACATTGTACTGGAAGGTCTTCTCACTTTTCTTCTGAAGTGCAGTTGAGAAACTTTTTTATGATAGTCTCCGGAGCATTGATAACTCCAGTGTTATAGCCAAACTGGAAAAAGCCAATTGTTGTAACAGAGACAGCAAAGATCAGGGATGGTGTCACCTTCTGTGCCCCATGGTCCTAACTGAATTTTCTTTAAGTCTTGGAGATCAATGGATGGGATTTTAGAAAAACTTCTTCCAATCAACAAAACCTTCAAAATGTCATTCTGAGCAGTAAGTTTTCTTCAGGTCTTCAGTGGCAATAGGTACTCACACTCACCATTGCTGTGTCTCTCAATAACCTCTTAATCATGAGCATTTTTGCCAAAGATGCTTCAATGAGGCAGATTACCATCAGGGCCTCATGATCTAAGAGGACCTGAACAGTGATTTTCTACAAACTGTGAGCAGGTCATTAGTCCAGGGAATCATTCCAACATGAAAATATTCATCCACTTATTAATTGTTTAAGCAATTTGGAAAAAAAAATAAGGGGTCACTTTATAAATTCAACCTGACAATTGAGACCACTGTTTTAAGAAATTCCCATTATCACTTTTAATGTGGAACCTTGCAGCCTACAGAGGATTCCAAGGTTGACTCTTTGTTCTTGCTTAGGACATTTATTAGGTAGGTACCCACACCCTATCTGGGCTGCTCATGTTTTTTTCTGCAGTTTTATTCACTGCCTATTCCCAGCAGGTGTTTATGAAGGTTGAAGAGAAGAGATCAATGCAAAATGTGCTTAAATAAAAGGAATAAATACATTATTTTTACAAAAAAAAGGAAGGAAGGAAGGAAGGAAGGAAGGAAGGAAGGAAGGAAGGAAGGAAGGAAAAAATGGGGTTATGGATTAGATGGAGTAGAAATCACCCTGGCCACACTATTGCTTAACTCTATCTAGTATTAATGTCAGTTCATTGGCACATACACAAAAACTTATGAAATAAACATTAAGGAATAAACATAGAGACAATATCTAAAAATGACCAATATGAGGAAAGTCACTTAGCTATTATAAAATCTGTATACATTTGATAACTAGATATCAAAACAGCTGATTTTTACAGCATTTTCAGCCAAGAGCAGAGAAACATTGAATATTACTGAGAATGATAATGTAAAGTGAATAATGATAATCTACTCATAGACTTTTGTAATCCTTCCATTATATACTAATACGCCTGGCTTGAATTTCTGATTATTGTTTCCTAGTCTGTATTTCTCCCAGTCTCTGTCAAAACCACCAGGCATAAAGTCAACTCATATTTCATTTTACCAAATAATGAAATAATATGGTAGTAATATTCATAATATAATAATAATATGAAATAAAACTTCATTTTACCAACATACTTACCGTACATCCTCTGCAGTTGAGCTGTTTCCAGATATCATCTATTTCACAGGTCATACATTTTCATAATTTTAACCAGTCTTATAGTTGATTCTGATTTTTCACTTGAAAATAATTTTATCTTACTATCTAAAAAGTGCATGCAAAGAATAGAGTATTTGGTTTAATTTCTGGTTTTAACCCCTACATTTTCACATTCCAGGGAAACATCTGTCCTACTAATCACTGTAACTTTTATTTCAATAGACAATGCACTCAAATACTGATTAGAATAAGAAGATGCTGCAGGCTCCCAGCATGTCAAGCAGAAGAACAATGAATCTCCAGATTACATTAGAAGGACTGTGACTAAAGACATTTCAACAGAATATGTGTTGATAGGGTAATTATTAGGTGGAGTAAATTACAATGTGGAATCTTAGCAAGTACTTGTATAAATAGTTTCTTTTCCACAAAAGAGATCTTATGTTAGGGGGTAAAAAGTGTCTTACTTCTAGTAATTTCTAAAATCAATTTGCTCAAGTTCCACTGTAAGAATATTCTTAAAGTTTTCATCTGAAACTTTAATATTTAATTTTGAATGGATAATTTTTGGTAGTGAAAAAAACCATACCTGATACTGTTCTTTCTTCTTCCCGCCGTGCAGGGAAAATCAATAGATTGATGTTGTGAGATGGCTACCTGGGGTGATCTAAAATGAAAAAGGCATTTTGAAATTAGGAAAAGAAACTTGCAAACGTTAATAATGATGGTCACATAATAGGATGTTTTTCAGTCAATCAACAACATTTGCTGTGTATCCACTCTATACTGAGCCTGATTTTATCTGGGCATGGATATGCAGACTTACTGAAAACACCTATATCACAAATCTTAAGCCCTAATTCTAGAGAGTAGATGGCTCCTGGAAGAAAATATATTAATGTTGATTATGCACAAAGAGATACAAAAAGAACACACATATATACATATGTATATATTCATACATAGTTAGTTAAAGATACAAATCTCAGTTGGTTATACTGTAAGAACTAAATTCCAAACCGTTTTTTCGAAGATACCTGTACTGTCTGCTACTGAGGAGGTTAAGCCAAGAGGACTATAACTTCAAGGTTAGCCCGGGCAACTTAGTGAGGCCCTCAGCAACTTATCAAGACCCTGTCTCAAAAAAAAAAAAAAAAAAAATTTGAAGTTCTGGGAATGTAGCTTAGTGCCCCTGGATTTAATCCCCAACAATAACAACAAATTCCTAGTGATGTTTACCTGGTATTATATCAGAAAGACTAGCCTCCAGAATCAACTATAAGACTCTGTTATTCCTTTCTCTGCCCATACAGGAGGCTTTAAAAATAAACCTGATGAACATAAAAATTACTTTATTGATGAAATTTGTGGCTTGTTGATTAGTGTAACTATTAAATATAAATTCTCACTGGTGAAATTGGAGGTGTTTAAGAGACATGAATTTACTCATGTACTTTTGTAAACCTCCCCCTCTTCTCAACAGTGTGATGAGAATTGAGTGGGACTATGCACTATAGCCTCAACAATAGTGGCCATGGTTTTATTCTAAATTGATTTGCTGGTAAATGGATGGAGCTGGAGAATATCATGCTAAGCAAAATAAGCCAATCCCAAAGGATTAAAGGCCAAATGTTTTCTCTGACCTG